GCAAGAAAACTTAGCGAAAGCTTAGCATCTTTTCACGGGGATTAAAGGAGATTACCTCGGAAACAGCGTCAGCATGAATGTTCCGGTAAAGTCAATAGACAGCTGGTCAAGAGGAATCCACCGCCGTCTTCCGGTGGAATCAGACACTTTCACTCGAAATGGAATTAGGCCCAACAATTATGAAACAAGAGATTCCTCAAAACCCAACTTGTCTTCGAAGATATGCATGATGTGTCACCGGTTTGGATGGCAACATGATCGTAGAATTATCACAAAATGACTATAACACAAACGCCAAATGATTCCACATAAAAGCAATAAGTTCAGAGTATGTAAGAATCGCAAAGTCAATCAGTCCAAGTTTAGTGTTTAATCTTTTGGGAACCAAAGCAGCCCAGAGTCGCTGTAAAGTTCACACGGAATAAGCACATTTTAGGGAGTCCTATAAAACGTTTTAGGTTGTGCAGAACGCAAGTTAAAGGAATAGCTCAGCTTTGCCGATACCGTGGCAATAAAGAACTCCTACAGGCAAATACAAGGTTAGAGTAAGCCAGAAGAATGTAAAATCTTCATTTCGCAAATGTCGAGAGCATAATTGGTGTCGATGCTAGCCGGTTTCGATACCTACAAATTGTTTTTTTCTATAGAAAGCGTCATTGTTCACGATGAATTACATAAAAAGGGGGCACTGGAGATATACGATGAAGTGAGATTTAGATGCAATCTTGGTAATCCCAGATCGTTTGAGACGAATTAAAGTCCTGAAAATTAACTCATCTACCCTGTAGGTCAAGCAATCTCTTCCATGCATCGTAAGCCGGGAAGCGAAGAGTGGAAGTGGCGCACCTCCATCTTGACAACTGAGAAACAAAACTGTTACAGACACTAAATTCCTTCAATTATACGGTAGGAAACATAGCTTCTTGAATGGAGAACGGCTGGTAAGTCGGAAGCCGACTTGTCTAAAAAAAAGTCGTGTTTTCAATCGTAATCTCCTTTAAGTTCGTACTTGTTCTTTCTTTTCTTCTTTGCCTCCTTCTTCTTCGTCACCATTTTATTTATATTATTCTCTGCCTTATTATAGTCCTTCAGAGTATTCTTCTTATTCTACTACCTTCCACTACTACTCATTCTTCTTCTTTTTCCTATTCTTATTTTTATTCGTTTTTGTCTTCGTTTCCTTCTCCTTTTAATTCATTTTCTTTATTTTATTCTTATTCTTAGTTTTACACCTTCGTCTTAGTCCTCTTACATGTATTCTTATTTATCTTCGCCTCTTCCTTATTGTCCTTCTTCATTCATCGTTTTACTTTTCAATCTTCTTATTCTTAATTTTTTTGCATTCTTCCTTTCCTTTTTATTTTCTTTCTCCGTTTTCTTTTTTTCCTCCATTAATTTCTTCTGATCCTTCCTCTATCTTTTTTTCTTGCTAGTTTTTTGTCTTCCTTTTCTTCTTCTAACTCATTTTATTTTTCTTATACTCTGCCTTCTTTTTCCTTTATTTTCTCCCTCATCTTCTTCTACTTATCTTCCTTTTTTTCTTTTTTTCTCTTTTTGTCTTCCTCTTGTTATTTGTCTACCTATTTGTGTCTTTTGTAGCCTCTTTAACTTTGATTTGTCTTTTAATCATTCTTTCACTTTTTAATCTTCTGTTTCTACTTTCTCTTTTTTATTTGCCCTTTTGTTTTCTCTTTTGTTCTC